CTCAGGGCAGTCCTTGGCATAATGTCCCTTTTGTTGGCAAGCATAGCATTTGATGGTTGCTATGTTCCGCTTCTTTGCAGGTTTCTTGCCTTTCTTGAAGGGACTCTTTCCCTTCTTCACTTTAGGGCCGCCTTTCTTATTTTGAGAGCCTTTGCTTCTCTTGGACTGGTTTTGGGAGGTTGTCCCTCCCTTTCCTTCAGTTAAATATGCCTTACTAACAGGCTTCACAGTTTCCATCCGATCATCCTCCAGTTGGAGGTGGCGAGCTACATCAGCAAAGGTTTTTATACTCTCATTATGAGTAATGGTGTGTTTCATGGTATCCCAACTTGCTGGGAGAGATCTCATGACAGCTTGAATCTGTTGCTCGTCAGATAGAGCGCCTCCGGCTTCCTTAAGCTCCCTGATTAAGTTCTGCATTGCCCTTAGGTGATGCCTTATGGGAGTGTTAGGACCCAGCTTGAAATTATCAAGTTTGACGGTGAGTCTCCTAAGCCTTGCAGCAGAGGTGCCGTCAAATTCGGATTTCAGCGCTGCCCACATGGCAGAGGCGGAAGGGTGTGTTTCGAATTGCACCAACACATCGTCAGTCATGGCACTCAGCATGGTTATTCTGGCGATAGTGTCCCTTCTTTTCCAGGCCGCGTAGCCGTCCTGGTCCCTTCGCGATGCATTTGCCTCAGGCTCTGGAAGAAAAGTAGTCAACACATCAGTGACTTCTTGTTCTTCGAGGACATACGATATCTTACGACGCCACATGCTATAATTGTCTCCGTTCAGCTTGTCACCTCCTACGAGGTCAGCTATAATGGACTTGATTCCTCTTTGAGACATCGTGCTATCACATAGACAACAATGCATTTTAGTATGGTATGCAATATATACACTTTTGTTCAAGTAGGTCATAGGTTGCCTGGGTAAGAGTCTCACCATTTTCATGATCAGGAGACAACTAGGTTGGCTCCCATCCCATTACTCCTGGTTAGTCTCTTACCTTTCTTACCTTTGACTTTCCTTGAACATATCCCCAATTTGGAGTTTTCCTCATGAAACTCCCACTCAAATAAAGCATTTGAAAAATTAAAAAAACTTTATTTATTGAAGCATGAATGTTTACAAAAAAAAATTGGATAATTCCAAAAATGAAGTCTCAAGAGTAAACATTAAATGAAAAGAAATATAAATGTGAACAAAAACTCATTCGTTCATGATATATTTTATCATTGGTTCTCTCAAACTCTCTTTAACACCTTTCCAGCATCTACAGAGACATTGTTTAAAAAATGCTTCACTAAATATGTGTCCCCTCCTTGCCAGTTCCTCTCTGTACTGGATTGCAATATTTGAGAAAAAGAGTGCGTCTTGCTCATTGACAATTTGTTTAGCATAATAATTCAATTTTGAAAATAGGCACTTTTGATGCTTGTATTCATCAGCATGCTTTTCTGCTATCTTTTCTATTAAATTTATGTCCTTGGGTCTGCAGACTTCTTCCTCTTGTTGGTCAGGAACACATTTCCTTTTACCACTGCTCCCCTCAGGTACATTAGAGTTTACTTGTGATTGAGGCGCTTTTCTTTTATTTGTACTTTCGGCAGCATAATTATTTGAAGATTTCGAAGCATCAGAAAGTGGAGAATAAGTTGGATATTTTCCAAAAGAGGAGTTAGAATTTGAGTTTGAGTTGGCCATTTCCTAAACCCAAAAAGAACAAGTTAAGAAAAATATAAAAATAAATATTCAAAACATTTATTTGCTATTTTTCATACCCAAAAAGTCATAAAAAATCAGCACATAATATATTAGTTCATAGCTCATGATTTTAGAAATATTTCAGGTCAAACAGGGCTCAGAAATAGTCCCTCACGCGCCCTCACGCGCGCCCCAACAAGCAAAAAAATTTTTTTTTTTTTAAAGAGCTAGGATCGCCCACTCTCGGGACCGGCGCGTGTCATACACGCGCCGCCTTTCCGGCCTCTCGCCGTCACCTGACCTGTCCTATCTGATTCCTCACGTCTCAAGGAGTCTATATATGTGCTTTTTATGACCAAAGGGTCCCTAGGTGGACCCCACGCGCCCACATGGCGCGTCCAAAAAAAATTTTCAGAAAAAACCCTTTTTTTTTATTTCAAAAATATTTTTTTTTTAAATAATTTTTTAAAAAAAAAAAATTAGGTCGGGTCGGTCTACCGACCCGACTTCCAGGGGATCCGGGTCCACGGACCCGAAACGCAGCGTTTCACTTAAGTGAAACGCTGCGTCCTGGCCAGCCCAAAACGACGCCGTTTTGGGCTGGTCAGGTCGTCCCTGACCTCCAGCCGGGTCGCCCCAGATCCGGCTGGAGCTCCGGCGGGTCCGTCGCGACCCGCCATTTTCGAACCGCCGTATCTTCCTCCTCCGAGCTCCGTTTTATGCATTTTAGGTGTCTATGGACTCGTATTTTCGTGCTCTACAACTCTGTGGATTTATTTTCTTTAAAAAACATCAATTTTAAAGACCCAAAAACAAGGTTCGAACGGCCGACGTTGGAAGCTCCAGAAAATAGACTTCGATCACGTTTTTAAATCTTACGGAGTAACAAGTAATGTTTTCGAACTTCACTTATATAAACGGAGTGTGTATTTGAGTTTAAAACACAAGCATATTCAGTTCGAATGGCATACGGCATATTCACGGTGCAGCGGAAAAAAAAAATGAGCGTGTAATATATATATGCACACATATATTGAGAGCCTCAAGAACATCTCGGCTCTGATGCCAATGTTAGAAAAAAAAATAGGAGAATGGATCGAAAACATACCGGGTCAGATCTCGGGTCGGGTCGGTCGGATCTCCTTAGCTCACGCTTAAGCTAGACTATAAAAGTCTGAGCTTTTAAGTGCACAGCAGAGCACCACTTTTGCAAGAAAGAAAATTAAGAGAGAGAGAGAGATAGTAGGAAAGCTCTACTACTGGAGTGATTTGAACTGATGGGGGGAAGCCTCTATTTATAGCTTTTGTCAGGGATATTTTGGGTAGCATAAAAATATCCACTGAGCCCATCAGATAAAATCTGAGATAAGATATAATATATCCTTATCTCATAATATTATGATATTTTGAATTCAAATCCAGAATCAATCTTAATCAATTCTAAATATATATACTTAATATATATTTAATCTATACAATATAAATTAATTAATTTAATATAAATTAATTAGATTTATATCGTAACCGATTGGATATGATTCAGGATGTTTGACCAAGTCAAACATATCATGATATCGCTTGGATATTTGACTGATATATTCTCTTTATACCGGGTCAAATAATCCGGCCATCAAGGGCGGATCCAAGCCCAAAAATCTAACAGCAGGTATTTAGAAAATTGATAAGTTAATTATTTATAATAAATAGATGTCATTTTTTAAAAATAATTTTATTAATCATGTGCATTGAAACTATTTTTTATGAAAACTCATTAATATGTGCACTCACCATATAATTACCTAGGACAAAATAGATAAATACTGAAAATAAATTGGATTAGAGTTTTATACTTAGAATAGTAGTATATTTACGTCTTTGTTCGTATATGATCATCTCTTCCTTCTTTAATAAGCATACTGTTTCTCGATGTTAGTTGATTGAATTTTCCCTCACACGGGGCATGAGAGCTTATGAATGCTTCATTTTAACCAAGCCGGAAATAGATAGGATTAATTTTCGTGCTTTTGAAGAATTGTGAAGGAAGAGTACAATTGTGTGAATGTTATTGTTGCTAGCGTTGTGTTTTGTTTGATGGAGAATCTATTTGCACTACCTTCAGTCTTTAATTTAAAATTAGTTGATGATTGAATTTGATTTTAAATATAAGATTTTAATTCATTTTGTTTATTAAATTATAATTCATTTCCAGAATATAATTTCCTTATTAATATATATATTAATGTTTCATTTTCACTGAACTAATGTAAATTAACGGATTATTGTGTGAATATGTGATTGTTACTTAATAATTAGTGGCAAATTATTTTATGAGATTCAAGCATGTATACGATGTCATGTGAAATTCAAGTTGATACTCCTCTAATCCTTAATATAAGACCCATTTAACTAATCTGATTAGATTTAGGAAGTTAAGTAATTAGTTAATTATAAGAAATGTGACAAATTTTTCTTAAAACACCATAATCATCTTTCTTAATACCCCCTCTCCCTCTTTTACTTGATTATAGTTGATGGAGTATCCATAGGGGTAATTTAGAGAAAATTGATAAATATGAGAAATGAGTATTATATTTAGGGTCAAAATCAACTGAATAATTGAGTCTTATATTAAGGACCGGAAGGGTATATTAATAATATGTGACATTCATCTCTCGTTCATCAAGCAGAAAAGTGACTGGTATTTATAAAATAGTGAAACTCAACACATCAGCTTCATTGAAAGTAGAAACCATGTGAGAACCTCTCTAGAAATCTCTCTAATTACATGCAGTTCAAAATACATACGTATTTGCTGTTTATATGTTAAGATTTTTCATTAATGAAATAACTACTTAATTTATGACAACATACAGAATTATTTCGGAGAAGTTCATTATAGATTTTTTCTTTGTAACAAGTTCTGAACATTCTCAAATTTCTATTAAGCAAAAATAAACTACAAATATAGCTTTCCCAATATCCCCAGCATTGCATAGACATTTTTTATACTTTAAATGTGATTATCTTATCTAAAATTTATCCACAAGTAAATGTTTAAGAGAAGACTAAAGAGAGAAGACAAAGTGACGTATGAAAAATACGGAAAATGGAGAAATATGTATGTCATATATATATATATAAATTATGAGGCCACAACTAAATTTTGTGGTTGAGATTATTATTACGTAACGAACTGTTGAGATCTGCTCACATACTAAATATAGTGTGTTTTGAATAACTTGGACAGACGGCCCTTGCATCCAACCCTTTTCCCAGGTCTTCTTCCTGCACGATTCATTATCCTAAAAATGGCATTCTTCTTCCCTTCCTCTTCTGTTGAAACCAACCTTGCCACCACCAAGACATTTGTTTCAACGGTCGCCTCCGTCGCAACCACCATAGTGCTTATCCGATCAGTGGCTCGGGACCTCTTGCCCGGCGAAATCGTGGACTGTTTCTTCGATGGTGTCCGTGGATTCTTCCGTCGCTTCTCTTCCCAACTGACCATAGTGATCGATGAGTTCGAGGGTCTCATTAGCAACCAAATCTATGATGCCGCAGTCACTTATGTGGGCAAAAAAATCTCCCCCTCCACTCGCAGATTCAAAGTTAGCAAGCCTGATGATGCCAAAAGGGGCTTTGAGATTACCGTGAAATGCGATGAGTTCATCATGGACGTGTTCAATGGCATCAAATTCAAATGGGTCTTCATACGCCGTGGGGTTGAGTCCAAAAGTTTCAGCAATAATCCTAGAGACCATTCAGAAATTCGATCACTAGAGCTCAGTTTTCACAAGAAGCACAAGGAGTTGGTGTTCGCATCGTACCTTCCCTTCATTATGCAAGAAGCGAAATTAATGAAGCAAGAAGCGAGAGCCCTGAGGATCTTTACAGTAAATTGCAATGGCATATGCGACAATCTGAAAGACGCATGGACGCCGATGACCCTAGACCATCCGGCGACGTTCGAGACGCTGGCATTGGAGCCAGACACTAAGAAATTCATCGTGGAGGATTTGGAGAGGTTTGTGAGGAGGAAAGAGTATTACAGGAAGGTAGGTAAGGCATGGAAGAGAGGGTATTTGTTGTATGGCCCACCTGGAACGGGAAAATCGAGCTTGATTGCAGCAATGGCGAATTATTTGCATTTTGACATATACGATCTGGACCTGACGGTTTTAAGCCGCAATTCGGACCTCCGGCGACTGATGATTGCTATGGCGAATCGGTCCATCGTCGTTGTGGAAGACATTGATTGTACTATTGAATTGCAGGATCGCATCACTTCTGGTTACCCAAACCAACGGGTTATTCAATAATTTACCCTTTTTTTTGTGTGCAATTTGGTTTATAATAGGTCGACTTGAGATTTGTCACATGGACACAAGACAAAAGTCTCTGTTTTTACTACCTTCCGTGCTCAACATAAGATGTAGTTTATGATTTAAATTGAGTTGTATATATGACTTATTCATATCTTTTTGTGGATGTAGTCAGTGACACTGTCGGGGCTATTAAACTTCATTGATGGTCTCTGGTCAAGTTGTGGAGATGAGAGGATTATAGTCTTTACAACCAACCACAAAGAGAAGCTTGACCCCGCATTGTTGCGTCCAGGTCGTATGGACATTCACATCCACATGTCATTTTGCACTCCATCCATGTTCAGGCAGCTTGCTTTTAATTACCTTCAACTTCATCACATCCTCTTTTTTTCACAAATTGAAGAAGCCATTCTTGCCACTCATGTCACTCCTGCTGAGGTGGGTGAGGAGCTCTTGAAGATGAAGAATAGTGATCATCATTCTACCCTTCAAGAAGTTCTACAATTTCTTGTCCAGAAGAAGACCGAGAAAGAGGAGCTTGAGGCCCAAAAGAGGGAAACGTAACTTATTTCTCACGGTAATGGATATGATTCAGGCTTGGTTTTTGTTCAGACTTAGAAATTGATGAGGTATTCATGGGAGCTGAAGATTCAAGTTATCTCAAGAGAACAAAACCATCTAACTGCTTTAGCAAAGGAGGGTTTTTCAATATCTTTCAAGCTACTTTGGAGTTTCTGATATTGATCTCTTCTCTTTTTCCCTATTTCAAATTTCAGTCTTAAAAACGAACAAACTTAAACTAAATTATATTTGATATATTTTTTAATAATGAACACATGTGAATGGATTAGGTAAAGAAATGAAGAGGGCGTGTGAGTAGCTAGCAAGTCAATAATGTTGTTGCAGTGATCAATCTAACAAAACAGTCTCTACTTTTTATTTCCATCCATTAGGATTTCTTCTACTGCAAGTGCCTTTATAGCATAAGTTCCTTGCACGGCAAAATGCCCAAAGTAAAATGCCATTGGTGTAAGTTGTTTATGTTTTCAGTTTTCCATTCTCCAGGTCTAGCATTATTTGATTTAATTGGGAAATGTAATATTCCCTCCCCCTTTTAATATAAGTGCTATTTAACTAAATTTCTTAGATTTAAGAAAATGAGATAAATCATTAGATAATATAAGAGCTATGAAAGTGAACTGTAGTTATATATTACTCCTCCAGTCCTTAATATAGGACCCAATTATTGAGTTAGTTTTGGTCCTAAGTATAACACCAATTTCTTATATTTATCAATTTTCTCTAAATTGCCCCTATAGACACTCTCTCAACCATAATCAAGTAAAAGAGGGAGAGGAGGTATTAAGAAAAATGATTATGATGTTTTAAGAAAAATGTATCACATTTCTTATAATTAACTAACTTATTTATCTTCTTTAATTTAATCAAATTAGTTAAATGAGTCTTATATTAAGAATTGAAAGAGTAGCAATTAAGCTGCTCATTTTATAGATATTCATGTGAAGGCAGAAGGTAGTTGATTATTTTGAAGAAACAAAAAGCTACTGACAAACTAGCGCTTGTGGCAGAGGCACATGCACTCGAGTGGGGAGAGATTCTTAGATGAACCTGAAGTGTCATGTAATTTGTGGTCTAACCAATAAAAAAAAGAACATCTCATATTATTTTAATCTGATATGGCACTTTTTAAATATTAGCTGGTAAATACAAAAATTAAAAGAAAAAAATTTGCAAAACAAGAAAAAAAGCCCTCCATTAGCTTGTCATTTCCCGCGCCTCCCACTACCTCTCATTCTTCCCCTCTAATTCCATGAGTAAAAAGACGCTCCCTTGATCCTGTAGCAAGCAAAGAAGTTATATAAACTTTTTTGACCAGGAAATCGAAACAAGGGAAGAGGGAGCTCCACATGATCACTAGAGGTAAATCTATAAATTAGGACCTTAAGGAATTGGTATATATAAATGCGCTGGAATACATCTAACAAAGTAAATAATCTTCACGTGATGATTCTACTGTTAAATTAGTCTTGAATATTGTTACAATATTTAAATTGAAAGCTTTATTGTCTCCTATATATACTTGAAATTGGAGATCTGACGAGAACTTTATTTTATAGTTATCTACTCATGTTCTGGGGTCTCATTTGCTTTTACATGTGTATGTATATTGTGGGGAAAGAGTTTTTCTTATTTTTCCCAACAAAAAGTGTTTGTGATTTAATTGACTTTTATTATAGAATAGTTTTGTGAAGATTTTGAATTAGTTTTAATTTTGTACAGAATGGAAATAGCAAATAAGTCAGGGTTAGATAGGAGGGAAAAGAAAAATCTATGACTAATCCTAGCTTTGAAGATATATATAACTTTGGTGTTGAAAATATTTACTTAGGTCAAGTTGTAAATAATAGAGATGAGGCTTATGATTTATACACAACATATGCATATCAGTTGAGTTTTTTTTTTTTTGGATGAGAAAATCAAAACAGACCTATGTTGTTAGAACTAACAAGATTCATACAAAGATTATGTGTGTTCAAAACAAGGATCTAATTATTTAGAAGAATGCATTAATAGTTCATTTACTACAACAAATGCAAGGACAAATTGTGAAGTAATGGTTCGGTTTACTATTCAATTATATGATCTACGAAAGATCACTAAATTAATTATTGAGCATAATCATGAATTTGTAAAACAAGAGCATAGGCATTTGATGCATTCTGCTAGGAATATTTCTACAGTTAAGGGTGAACTTATTAGTTCTATGATAACTGCTAGAATTAGAACTAGGGATGTGTGGAGTTATATAGATGAAGAAACACATGGTTTTGATAATATTGAATTTTCAAAAAAATATTGTTATAATTTTGTTAATAAACAAAAGTTGAAAGTGATAGAAGCTAGGGATAGAAAAAGTTTAGTTAATTTCTTACAAAGTTGTTAGGCTAAAGATCCAATGTCTTATTATGGTGTTCAATTTGATCATGAATTACATTTGACAAGTGTTTTTTTTAAGGGAGGGAGATCACCAATCGATTATGATTGTTTTGGAAATATGGTGGTTTTTGACACAACTTATCATACAAATAAATATGATTTAATTTGTGGACTATTTGTTGGGATAAATCATCATTGGCAAAATGTAATGCTTGGTTGTGCTTTTTTGATAAAAGAATCAATAGAATCTTTTGAATGGTTGTTTGAACAATTTTTTATGTTTATGGGAAATTGACCACCACAAACTATTGCCATTGATCAAGATGCTACTATGGCCAAAGCAATTGAGAGGATATTTCCTAATAAATGGCATAGCTTGTGCTTGTGGCATATAGCTAAAAATGCCCCATCTCATTTAAGTCATTTGAACTCTGACAAGGAGTTCCAATCATTATTTTAAAAGTGTATGAAACAGTGTAACTCAGAAGCGGAATTTGAAATTACAAGGGATGAAATGATTAAGAGATTTAGCCTTAGTGACCATAATTGGCTGAATAGAATCTACACAATATTTCAACATAAATGGTCAACTGCATTTGGCAAAGATATGATTTCTTCAAGTATAAAATCTTCTCAAGGGAGTAAGAGCACTAATACTATTTTGGGTGATATATCTACAAAAAAAAAAATTCTGCTACAGAATTTTTCTTAGCTTTTAAGTAGATGGTGGGAAAATGGAGAAGTGTTGAGGGCGAAGAAGATTTTCACAATAGTGAAGGCATTCCTTCATGTGCTGTCAATAGTAATAAGACTTTATCCCATGTATCAAAAGTTTATACTAAAAAAATTTTAAAATTTTTTGAGAAGGAATATTTGGATAGAGTGGGGATTTTGCTTAAAGAAATTAAAAGGGATGGGAACATTTTTGTTTACGGCTTGTGGAAGGAAGGAAAATAGTCAAAGAGGTGACTTGTCCAATTTGATTCATCTGATGAAGATGTTACTTGTAGTTGCAAAAAATTTGAATCTATGAGTGTTCTTTGTTCACATGCATTGAGAGTTTATAACATTAATTGTGTGATAAGAGTACCAAATAAATACTTCTTGAAGAGATGGCCAAAGAATGCAAAGTTTATTGATTGTCAACATAAAAGACAACATGCAACTAGTGGAGTTCCAAAAATTATCTACCGCATATTATGCGGTCAGTTTATAACCTTGTGTTGGCCTCACAAAATCACAAGGAAACTCAAAATATCATGTGGGATGTTCTTAAGAATGGATCCTAAAAAGGTCAAGAACATTTACGTAATTTGGATCAAAGCAGTAATATGGAAATGAATAAAGAAATTCATGCCAACAAGCAAGATCCATCTAAAAAAAAGGGTCAAATTTTTAATCCACCTGCAAAGCCAAAAGAGAGTGGAAGTGGTAGAAGAAAGGGTCACTTTGAAATGCAACGAAAATCAAGTAAGACATAATTTTTATAAGTACTTGTGTTATGTATATGTATTAGTTATTTGTTTCTAAATTTAAATTTCTTTATAGAAAAACAAAAGGGAGTAAAACATGTTACTTCAACCGTATTAGAGCTAGCTTTTGTTCCTCAAAATATTGGCTATACTCATCAGATAAAATAGATGTGCTTATAAAATTAATAAACATGACAATTATTTTTTTAATTATGCTTACGGAATATAATTGTGTTATATTATAGGCCAATTCTGGTCATCTAATTCCAATAAGTCATCCTATGATTGCATGTGTTCTTTATGGTTCTTGGAACATTAGAAGCCCATTTCATATGACCAAGATGAGCAGCAATTTAAATTAGGTATATTTCAACTAGTTATATTGTTATGATAACTTCATCTTTCTAGGATATGTCAATTAATTATATTATTTTGAATTTATTTCAATGTAGTTTTGGGAAATACATTTATTGGGTTGGAGACCACCAATTACGCTTACACAAAACAAGTAATTGCCTCCAAACATTTAAAGTGAAGCCAATGAAAGAAGATTCTTTTGTATGCTGGAAAGTAAACAGATAAATGCCTTCGAGCTGGATTTTTTTTATTCTTAGTTCTTTTGATGTATGGTAAAAAAAAATTAGGTTATGTATCATGGTAAAACCAAAGTATCGGGATACTTTTTCGCAGCTGGCCTACTGCAATGGCTTGACCTGAATCTAAATAAAGCAGAGACTAATGGCCACTTACAATGAATAGTGGAAAGAGCTCTTCATCAGGAGGGTTATTAATACTTGGTCCTGACGCTTCATTTACCTATACGTACTTGGAAGCTCTCCTGTCTTAGAATCAATTTGGATTAGCACTGACAAAAACTTTTGCAAAAATGAGTTAAAGTGAAAATTAGTTAGTATAATATAATTTATGTTTAGATTGATATTTATAAAATGTCGATTTTAAAAGTTAAAACTTGTTTGGATGATTGATAAAAAAATAAATTTAGATATTAAATTACTGAAAAAAATATGAACTTTATTAATAGTATTGTTTCATACTCTCTCCATTCCTTATTATAAGAGACGAATAACCGAATTACGTTGATTAAAAAAAACAGTTAATATTAGTTAAGAACAA